GACAACTACTGTGAAAATAGCAAGATACATTATGATAGCCATGGTTGATTTCCTGTTGTCCTGTTTTGAAGTTCTGTACCACTTTCACTGCTGTGTTTTGATTAGCTTTATGCTGTTTTCCTCTCTTTAAAATAAAAACAGCAACAATAGTGAAACCCCCCCCAAACAATAAATGGACCTAACAAACATTTCATCTTATAACAGCAGATACATATTCTTCTGAAGAGCACATGGAATATTCTCTACAATCACAAATTAGGCAACCAAGCAAGTGTTAATAAATTTAAGAAGACTGAAATCACATCAAGTACTTTTTGTGACTATAAAGCAGTGAAATTAGAAATAATGGAAGAATTTTGGAAAATTCACAAATACATGGAAATTAAACAACATCTTCCTGAACAACCAAAAGAAATCAAAGAAATTAAAAGAGGAATTTAAAAAATCCTGTGACAGAGTAGTGAAAATAAATATAGTAAAACTTAATGAGCTACAACAAAAGTAATTCTGTGAGGGATGTTTATAGCAATGAATGCCTATATCTTAAAAAATGATTTCAAATAAATAACATTATATCTTATGGTACTAGAAAAGAAAGAACAAACCCAAAATAAATAGTATGAAGGAAACCATATCAGATCAGAAATAAGTGAAACAAAGTCTAAAAAGGCAATAAAAATATCAATGAAACTAAGAGTTGGTTCTTTAAAAAAAACAGATAAAAGTCAACAATCTTTCAGCTAGAACAAGCAAAATAAGACAGGAATTATATAAAATCATATGTGGAAGAAGAGACATTACAACTGATGTCACAGAAAAAAGTAGAGATTGAAGAATTTTTTATGAGTGGGTAGAGAACATTAAGTAAGATATGGGAGAACTTCAAGTGACCCAAAATACATGTAATTAGAATTCCCAGAGGAGAGAGTGGGAATAGAAAATTTTGGAAGAAATAGTGACTGACAAATTTCATGAAAACTGTAAGCCCGTAGCTCCAAAAAACACAAAGCATCACATGCAAAGAATGTGAAGAAAACTGCAATTATATTAGATAGGAGTGTACACTGGTTCCTTGAGTGTATATAATTTGACATTGTCTCTAAAACTGAACTTATGGCAATATTTTATATTGCTATAATTCCAATTAAACCAATAGAAAAGCATGCACATGTGCATCAAAAGATAAGTATACATGCATGTGCCCTGCAGTGTTACTTATAATCCCAAACTGAAATGTCTCACTCAGAATAGATAAAATAGAAATGAAAGGAAATGAGTAATACACATACTGAAACCACAAATATATTGTTGACCAAAAGAAGCCAGCCCCTAAGTAGGAGGTATCTAATTCTACCAATATGAAAGGCTAACTAAGAAGTCAGGATCATGGTTATTTTTTAATTTTTATTTTTGGTACTGGGGATCAAACTCAGGACCTCGAGCTTGCCAGGCAGGCACTTTGCTGCTGAGATAAATTCCTCGCCTAGATCATGGTTATTTTTTGAAGGATAAAATGTAGGGATTGAAAGTAGGGACTATGTGGATCTCTGAGGAACTAGTAATATTCTATCTCTTGATTGCTAGTTTTATAGATCGAATCACTTATCGTTCATCAATCAGACTGTTCAGTTATGATCTGGGAAAATTTCTATATGTATGCTGAAAAACTCTAAAAATGAAAATGAATATATTTTACAATTTTAGAATGAGGGAGAAAAATAATACAGTCATCTCAAAAGATCCAGATAAATAATCTGATAAAATTCATCATAAAAAATCTTAGAAAATATATCAGAAGGAAACCATCTTAACATGATTAACGGTATCTACAAATAAACATTACACTCAATAGAGAAATAGTAAAAAGCGATTTTTAAAGATTAACTATGGTGAATCAAAGTAGCTACTTCCATTCATGTCGATTATACTGGAGATCTCTGAATGGCGTACTAAATAGTTAATTGCTCAACAAAAAGATATGGTGCATTCAACATAGAATTTAATGAAGGTTTGTTCCTATCAGGGTTATTTTAAAAAAATTTGACACTGGGAATCACATGGAACAGTACAGTAACTCAGAGTTAGAATCAGATTTGACTAATGTTAGGACTAAACGATGAAGGGGAGAATGTTACTAGAATTCAGAAGAAATAGTCATGCAATATAAGATTCCTTGTGACACTTCCAAATAGTCAGACCCACGTGAACTCATAAGTAGTAGTCCAGGAAAGTGACCTTTCTCTCTCCTCCTCCACTAAGGTTTCACACTGGCTTTAACCTAACTGGAAATGAGAGGGACAAAAGCTGCTGATTTAGTCTCTTTAGAGTTGTCCTTTGTAAAGTAGAGAAGATAGGGATATGGATCTGATGGGTAAAAGAGCAGATATATAAATCATAAGAGAGCCAAATGGATATGGATCCAAAATAACATTGTTACTGTTTACAAATTGTATGACTGTACATGAAGAAAGATCTAAACACAGTATTAGTGCTAGTAAGGTGAGTTCAGTAAAGTTCCTAAGTATAAAGTTGACAAAAAATTAATTGTATTTCTAAATACCAGCAATCAGAGTCTGAAATCTAAAAATTTTCTTTTTACAATACTATTGAAAACATTAAACACCTATGAATGAAACTACTAAAATACATGCAAAACATTTAAGGAAATAATAAATATGCTGAGCCAACTTAAAGAAGATCTAAATAAAGAGAAAGGACAGCGGGTTGGAAGTATTCATTTTAAAGCCCTAGCTTCTCCGCTCCCCTCCCCCAGACTGAATACAACCACAATAAAAATCTCACTTGTGTGCTTGTGTGTGAATGTGTACATACATTTGCATAATTCAAAACTGATCTGGAAATGTACATTTCCAAAATATCCAACATATTTTTAGGTAGAGTTGTTCTACTACATATTAAGACTCATTGCAGTATGCCCTAATTAAGACCATCCTGTTCTGAACCAAGAGTAAACAATCTATATGATTAAAATACTTTTTTATTAAAAGTTGCTTAATTAAGTTGGTATTTGCTTGGAAGAAAATGAAATGTGACTCCCCCCAAACCAGTTCCAAATCTATTGTGGAAAAAAAATGTGCAGCAAAAAACCAGACAAACAAACAAAACTAATGCCTCCCACTTTAAAAAATCAGTCACAGGGGCTGAGGATTTAGCTCAGCGGCATAAGCGCCTGCTTTGCAAGCAGGCAGTCATGAGTTCGATCCCTGGTACCGATAAAAAAGAAAAAGAAAAAAAAAATAAATAAAATAAATTATTAAAAAAAAACCAATCACAAGCAAACTTTTTCAAGATAATATAGGAAACCACAGTCAGGAGTGTGGGAGGGATCTCTAAAATAGGACACTAAAGAAAAAGACTGTTAAATTTGACTATATTAAATAGTTTCTGTTTTTTAAAAGGTAGATTTAAAGTCACCCCCCTTCTCACTACTGCACTTGACTAGTCTAAAAAAAAAAAAGGTAGATTTAAAGTCTTTTAGTGGGGCTGGAGATTTAGCTCAGCAGCACAAGCACCTGCCTTGCAACCAGGTGGTCGTGAGTTTGATCCTGGTACCGGTAAAAAAAAAAGTCTTTTAGTATAGGCAAGAAAAAGACAAATAATCAAATAAATAGTATCTCCAAATGGTCAGTAAGCAAATGAAAACATATGCAACTGCTTTAGTAATAAGGCAAAAGCAAAATGAAATAATTTTCATTGTTCACCTACAGTTATGGTGTGTATCTAGATGTTCTCCCAAAACCTGATGTGCTCAAAGGTGGGGAGTTTGGGATCTGGCTAGATCTCAGGCATGACGCTGAGATTTAGAGTGCATGGTACTAAATTAGCCTGTTGACTGGAATTACCAAGGTTCTGGGCAGCACCACCCAAAAGGCTGATAGCCTGGATGGGGTAAAAGAGAGGCTGGCTCCTGTCAGTGCTTGCTCTTCACTGCCTCCTGGCTGCCATGCTCTGGACTGTTTTTCATCTCTTGTGCCCCCCTGCCATATTGGCCTGCCTTGGCACCAGCTGACTGTGGGCTGAAACTTCTGCAAACTGTGAGCTAAATAAACCTTTCTTCCTTTAGCTTGTGGATGTTAGGGTATTTTATCTAAGCAATGAAAAAAGTAACTAAGGTATCCCCCAAAACAGATACTGCCATAAGCACTAATAACAGGGAACACTGGTAGGATAGAGAAAAATGAAACTCTCACATGATGATGGTGAGAATGCAGATAGGTACAATCACTCAGGAAAATTGTTTGCAATAATCGATTAAAGCTAAGCCAACACGATGCTCCACAGTCAAGCATTTACTCTTCCTCTACATGCTTGAGAAATGTCCAAGAGACAGGTACAAGAAAGCTTATAGCAAAGTATTTTGTAATAGCTCCAAGTTGGAAACAACTTGTGTGACAAAAAAAGAAAGAAAGAAGGAAAGAAAGAAAGAAAGAAAGAAAGAAATGTTACACATTACATTCTACACAATGAAGCACAACCACATGCAATGGGTGGATCAGTCTCACAGGCATAATTTTGAACAAAAGAAACCAGAAAGAAATGAACACAGAGCATATGGGGTTCCCTTAGGTACAGCATGAAAACTAACATTTAGGGGCTGGGGATTTAGCTCAGCAGCATAAGAGCCTGCCTTGCCAAGCATATGGCCGTGAGTTCGATCCCTGGTACTGATAAAAATAAAACAAAACAAAAAACTAACATCTAAACAAAAGTATGTCACGCTTCGTGTTTAGCAGTAAAATCATAAAGAATAACGAAGAGATTATAAAGGTTGGAGTAGTAATTAGTTCTGGGGGAGTAATAATTATAAGGGAAGGGAGATGGGCTTCTGGGATGCTTAATTTTTAGAAATTTGAATATTTGTAACATATATTTACTGTATGTTAATTAGGAGTGACACAACTTGTTATATAATTTGCTATATATGCTATGTTTGGCAACCATAAGGATAAAAAGGTTGTTTCTTTTCTCCTATTCCATACCTGCTTCAGCATAAAAAGCAAGGGGTCCTCTGGCTTTTCGTAGACTAAGTTTTCAGTGATCTGCTGAGAGAGTATAGGCTTCACATTTTAGTTCTGAGAGAAAGGGATCCAGTTAGGTTACAGCTGATCAATTTTTCAAAAAATTTAAGAATCCCTACAAAGAAACAACTTTCTTAGTGCTAATAAAGCAAGCAAGTTAAGATGAAATTTGAAGGAATAAAAATTTAATTATAAATAGTAAAAATAGTAGTTTCCAAGATCAAAAAAGTAGTAAGGAAAAGTTGGTAAAATCATTGCTTTCAGAATTGTGATCTTGGTAGACTGATAATAAATTGCCTCTTTTGAGAGTAGGTGAAGAAATATCCTTCAAATAAAAATTGAAAATGCTGTGTCATCTCACATATAATGTTGTTTCGGAGACATTTGATTCTAAAAGGTAAAAGTTACGTTTAGCCACAATATTAAAAGAAAAAGAATACATTGTGTTTCAGAAATTCACTTCCACATGTTTTTGCAGTTATAAGATAACTCAAAAATTATAATAAACATATTTCTCACTTGTATAAAATAATAGACAAATATCAGATATAAAAATATTTAGCTATGTTTAATGTATCTATATTATTTAGTTATGTTTCACATATATTTCTACTTAAACACATACTACTTTTTCTTATAACAATGTTTCATGCATAAGCATCAATCGTTGAAAGATGAAAATTACAGAATGTTTAAAATTCTACTGTTTTCAATTGCTTTTGTCTTTAGGTTTAACAAGTGATAGTTCTTTGATTAAAGACAGAAACTCAGCCTAAAATCTCAGCCTTTCCTAAAGGACATTGTAAACAAAGAATGGTGTAAAGCAAGGTTAATGAAGGAGTTATCGCTTACTCTAATTTCATATGAGGAATCTGAAGTTATGAATTTAGTAATTTTCCTCAAATCACAAAGATAAAATTAGAATTTGAGCCAATTGGCTAACAGATCACAATATTCTTTTTCCTCTATGTCTTGCTTTACATGATTTGGTTTCAATGTTTTCATTTGAGGTGGGCTATTCTAATTTTACACCTTTCTGATTTCAGAATTACTTCATGTAGCTATGTTATTATATACATATTTGTGTATTGTCAGCTAAATAACCTTAACATGAAAATAAACATTCTAAGCAAACAAAAACAACACACCCAATACCCACTCTCTTCCCCTCCACCAATAAAGCTGTGGTAATCTCTTGTGGTTTGATATTGGCCAAGGAGTTATCATACCTTAAAAGCAACTGCAATGTTATATCCTAAGATTTATACTTTCTAGAATAGGAAACAATTTTTAACCTTTCCTTTTTCCTTCTCAGTTAAAGAGTGTATGTTATTAGATGGTGAAAAGATTCATCATCATTTGAAAGAATTGAGTTACTGCCTGGAAAGCCCTTTATTGTCCTTTTTAATTGCCAATATTTTGTCCTTTTTTCCTAAAAGTTAAAACTTTTAATTCTTGGCCAATGTATCAACCATCCTACCTCACCTCTCATCCCTCTGGAGGACTTAATATTATGGTATCAATTCTTGATATTTATCATCTACTATTTTTGGTAAAAAAAATCCAGTTAATATACTTCTCATTTAGACAGATTATATTTCCCATGTTAAGAGCAAATACACTAATATATACTTTTTGAAAAGGTCACAATTAAAGAGAAGGATTGAGAGGTTTACCTGGAATATTTGCAGGATGTTGTGCTCCTCCATGTACTGGAGTGAAACTTCATAAGGATCTTCATAAATTATAGGGGGGAACCTCCCATCAGGAGTTTGCTTTTGTGTACAAGAAGTCCTTTCTTGCTTGAATTCTGAAAAATCATCCTGAAACTGAAACATTCCCCAAAGAATTTTTAATAAATCTAAAAACTCTGGAAATCTTTGCAGATGTAGTTATCAATGGGATCTAGTATTGATGGACTCTGAAAACCAGGAGCTGGAGAAAAGACGGACTGTGATGAGAGACCCAGCTCAGCTTCCAGGTGTGATGCATCTCACGCCCTGGTAGGTACCTTAGACATCATTAATCTATTTTGAATACTTTCCTTTCACAGAGACTACCAATCAATTCCAAATTCCCTTCTCTTGGTAGGAACCCAGATAGCGGAAATAAGTTAATGTAACAGTAGAAGAATCAGGACTTGAAACCCAAGTTCTTGGTTCATTAGACTTTTTGGAACAGCCTCAGAGTACCAAAGGAGATGACATATCTTTTTAGTTCCCCACACCTCCTTCCCCCCTTCCTGAGACTTATGGGTCACACATACTGCAACATGTGGGTTTATTCCTCATCTTTGGTCCAACATGTATTCTCCCACCCCCTGCCCTATGGCACTTCCACCGCCATCTTGGTCTCTAACCCCCAGCCAGTGCCCTTCTCACATACAGGTTTGATTTCTGTGGTTTGAGCTTTTTCATGAATGATATTAGGGTCCATTTTGAGAAAGATGGAGGGCAGTTTTTGACAAAAGGCTTGATCCTTTCCTTGGAAATTATCGGTGAATAGGGTATCATCTGAGAAGAAAGCTTGGCTAGTGGTTGGACTTTCACTGTCTGTTGAAAGCGTGGATTTGCGGTTTAGGAATTGGCCAGTCTCAAATTTGCAGTGCAGTGTTCTATAGTTATTCTCTTTGTCCTGGTTGCTGAACGGGGGAAATATTCTGTCCTCAAGCTGTTCAAGTGTTTTGTAATAAGATGGATAGTTTTCTTGTTGGTCGGCCTGTGCATCTATGAACTTATCTTCATTATAGTCTTCTCTCTCAATCATAAATTTATCAGTATTGATGTCAGGTTGGTAGATAGCTTGCTGGTCAGTGGCTTTAGTGGCTTGGTCATGCACTTCGTGAAATTTTATAGCCGTTCTATCCCCTTCTTGGTCAGATAAGATCAGCTCAGCTTTGTCAAGTCTCTCAACTATGCTGGGCAGTATGAGGTCAATCTGTCCAGAAGTTTCTTGGTTAAGCATTCTGTGTTGATCATCCTCAGATGCTCCTCCATTAGATGGCAGAGACAATGTGTCATCAGTCTGCTGGGAAGCTCTTCCTTTGGCCTGGCTAAACAATCTGTGGTCCACCTGCTCAGAAGCTCTTTTATCAGCCTGACCAGATGACTGGGGGGCTACCTGTTCAGAAATTCTTCTCTCAGCTTGGCTGGATGACATGTACCTCACTGGCTCAGAAGCTCTTCTGTCAGCTTGACTGGGGGCCCTGTGCTCTACCTGCTCAGATGCTCTTCTGTCAGGCTGGTTGGAGGATCTGTAGTTCACCTGCTCATAAGTTCTTCTGACAGCTTGACTGGCCAACATGTGGCCCACCTGTTCAGTTCCATAAGTTATACCATATGCTGTATCAGTAGCTTGGATCGATGTCTTGTCATCAGTTGGTTCAGGTGATTTTTGGCTAAATTGTTCATGTTCTGTATACCCAGTGTCTTCAGAATTTTTGTGGTTAGCTTGAGCAGGTATGATGTCTTTAGGCTGGCCAGATACTGTTTTGATACTTTGGTCAGTTACTCTATGGGCTGTGTGGTCGTCTGCATCACTTTTGGACTGGTTCTTCTGGTTGTCTTCTTCAAGGTTGTTAGTTGGACCAGCATTTGGGGCTGCGGCTGTGCTTTCATATTCCAAGGATTCAGAGGGATCTTCTTCTAGAAGCTCATCCATTTTCCGCCCAGTTCTTGCCTGCTTTTGGTTGCTGGGTGCTGGGGGTGGGCCTCAGTTGTCTAGGCAACCTTCCATCAGTAGACAGAATTCTAGCTTCTTTGTTCAGGCCTCTAAGGAGCCCTGGGGGAGTGGCGAATACCTTGCCTTAGGTCTGGCACCAGTCACTATCAAGGGAAAGACTGCTGGGGAAGGAGAGCGAGAAAGAGAGGGACGGACAGACAGACAGACGCAGAGCCACTAAGTGCCAGCACTGTGACTGCACAGTGTCAGTGTTAGTATGTGTGCCCACTAAGTGTTCTTTTTAAGATTCTAACCTATTTTGTGGTGATGCTACCAAATTATCTTCTTTTCATTTTTAAAAACCATTTCTCAGCACTGTCTTTACAGACTATGTCCATTCTTTTACAGTTGTGTCAGGAAGAGTGTATACTTCCTAACCATACTAATCTCTCTTCCCAGTAAAAGATTATAAACTGTGGAGTTAAGCCCTCTTATCCAGGTCATTCCTGCAGGAGCATCCTCTCCCTTGTCTCAGGAGCAGGTGTGCAGCTACTTTTCATTCCGTCCAGTAGGAGCATCAAGGCTTTAAAGAACTCCAGCACGAAGGTGTATTCTTGCTGAGTTAGACACCATCTATGACTGAACTGGCAGAGGACAGAGCAAGGATCCGGTAAGAATGGATATGGAAATGACATCATGTAGTGTCATAAGAGAAGTAAGGAGGGTTAGGAGGAGGCCCATCTGAGTTCCAGAAAGAAAAGGAGGAAGGAAAGTGAGAAAGGATACCAGAAGGTGGCTGGAATTCTGTATGCCTCATATATCAGAATATCATTTCCTTTTCCTATGTTTGGGAAGTTTTCCTTAATTATTTCTATGAAAAAACCTTTGTAGTTCCTTTGTTTGCACCCCAGCTTCTTCATTCACATTCTTTATTCTCAAGTTATAGATCCTTTTGTCATCTTCTAGCCTTTGTATTGTTATTGCTTGTTTCCTTGTTATTTTTTAAAAGTTTTCCCTTTCATACTCCCATACTGCAAAATTGTCCTCCAGTTTGGATAATCTATCCTTAGTTTCTTTCAAGCTGATTTGTCATCTTTCCGTAGAGTTTTTAATTTCCTGGTGATCTCTTTGAATCTGCTTCATGTAGTCTATATTATTTTATATTCTTCATCAAATGATTCTCTCCTTTGTTTGAGTTCCTCCCTTCTTCCATCTGTGTCTGCTTGAGGGGTGCTTAGTGTCTGTTTTATTAATCTTCTTATATCTTGCTTTATGTGACTAAATATTTCCCTTTTGAACTTGTCTATGAGGTCCTGAGGCTATCTCTTTATGTCCACTGGTGCCATGTCTGATATTGCATGTTTGCTGTTCTCATTCTCCTTTGTATTTACCTGACCTGGGTCAATGTTCTGAGGGTTGGGACCTGGGGACTTTTTAAAAATTATTTAAAGGGAAAAAAAGAAAAGAAATAAAAAAACAAAGCAGTAAAAGGGTGCAAGTAATACATAATTTCAAGAAAAAATATACAGTAAGAAGTCACTAGTTAATAGGTTACATATTGTCATCTTAGAAACAGTTGTCCAAATTATAAAATTAAAGCACATAAAGTGGACATTCATACAGTGAGTTTGCAGACAGTTCCACTCAATGATCCAACGAAAGCTCAGTAATATGGTTTTCCATCCTACACACTTAAACATACATGCAGTTATATCCTTTAGACCACGTTCCTTTCCTCTCTTTTTTACAATAACAATTACACTTTTGGGTTTTACTACTCCCACAGTTTATTACTTTTTTTGAAGAGAATAAAATCAAACGTGACTAAACAAATCAGAGTCAGAACAGAAGGATGGGCATAGTACTTGATGCAAAAATAGAATGCCAGGTGATCAAAAATTGTTACCATTGTACCTCTTGCTATTTTTAAAAAGAGTTGCCCATATCATCAGGAATAATAAAATTGACCAAAACAGTACAGAATAAGACCAATAAAACCTACACTGGAGATCTTACAGGATATCAAAAGAAGATGATAGTCAAACCATAATGGGCATCATAGTAAATCTTTTTGCCTTCAAAGTGGTTGTCTATACCCTCAAACTTGACACTATCAAACAAAATAGAATATAGTAAAATCAGACAGAACAAGATGGAGAGAGCAATACGGGGGTTCAAATCAGTTAATAGGAAAACAAAAAAGTTACTAATATATCCCACTATTTTTAAATGTAGTTTTCCCTTAATTGAAAAAATAGATTAATTTAAAAGGGGGGGGGAGACTGAGATAAAAGAGGACATTGTAACAGAACAACACAGGTCAGAACCAAACAATTTAAGCATCATTGTGTTTCACCACAAGATAATCTAACATAATAGTAGTCATCATAGTGCTGCTTTCCTTGAATTATTTGAGTGTAACTTCGTATACTATAGTGTCAAGCATATCAAGACAGTGTGAAGCCATTCAAGAGAATGAAAGAATTACAGGGTATTTAAAACCAGCTAACAGAAAGCGAACCATGGTTTCTATATTATCTCTTTGCCTATAAAAAATTTTGTTTATGCTATCGCATATAGTAAAATTTAGTAAGATACAACATATTAAAATCAGTGGAAACAGTTGTACAACAGCTTGATGGGACTTCAAAACAAGTTGATATTAAATCAGCACTAGCTTTTATGATGTGTTGTTTTCTTCAAAATAGCTATTCATACTATCACAATACTAAAATCGAACAACCCAGGTTAAATTCATTGCAATTAATGAGTGAAAACATTATATGACTTCAAACCAATATGATTGGGAATCATGATTACCACATACTTTTATGTATTCTTATCACACTAGGGAAACAATTCAGTATTTATACATGTGAGTTTGATTTATTTCACTTATGAGTATTGTCTCAAGCTGCATCCATTTATTTATAAATATCTCAATGTGATCACTTTATAGCTGAGTAGTACTCCATTGTATAAAAATAACACAACTTTTTTATCCATTCCTCAGTTGATGGACACTTAGGTTGTTTCCAAGATCTGGTTATTACAAACTGTGCTGCTATAAACATGGGTACACATATATCACTGTGGTATGATGCTTTCAGTTCTTCTGGGAGTATGCCTAGAAGCAGAATAGCTGGGTCAAATGGGGCTTGTCAATTTTATTTATTCTTTCAAAGAACCAACTCTTTGATTCATTGACATTTTGGATTTTTTTTTAGTTTCTATTGCATTGATTTCTGCTCTGATTTTTATAATTTCTTTTTTTCTTTTGGCTTTGGGCTTGACTCGCTCTTCTATTTCTAGGTGTTTGAGGTGTAACATCAGGTTATTTATTTGTATTCATTCTGTTTTTCTGATGTGGGAACTCAGTGCAATAAATTTTCCTCTGAGCACAGCTTTCATTGCATCCCACAGATTCTGGTAAGTTGTATTTGTGTTTTCATTTGTTTGTAGGTATTGCCCTTAATTTCTTCTTTAATTTCTTCTGTGACCCACTGATTACTCAAGAGTGTGTTATTCAGTTTCCATGTGTTTGTGGGATTTTTGCAGTATCTTTTATCATTAATTTCTAATTTCAGAGCGCAATAATCCAATAGTATGCAAAGGGTAATTTCAACCCTTTTGCATTTATTTAAATATGTTCTGTGAATTAATATATGGTCGATTTTAGAGAATGACCCATGTACTGCTGAGAAAAATGTGTATGCTGTTGTTGTTGGGTGGAATACTCTGTATATGTCTATCAAATCCATTTGTTCACAGGTGCAACTCAGTTCTTTTATTTCTTTGCTGATTTTCTGTCTGGTTGATCTGTCCACTGGTGTCAATGGTGTGTTAAGATCTCCCGTTAGAATTGTGTTACTGCTAATTTGGTTTTTAATTTCTGTTAATACTTGTTTTATATAACTGGGTGCTCTGTAATTTGGTGCATATATATTTAAGATAGTTATCTCTTCCTCTTGGAGTTTTCCCCTAACCAGTATGTAGTGACCTTCTTTAACCCTTCTGATCACTGTTGGCTTGAAATTCACATTGTCTGCAAACAGAATACCTACCCCTGCTTTTTTGGGGGGGTTACTGTTGCATGAAGTATTGTTTTCCATCCTTTGACTTTTAGTCTGTGAGTATCCTTTTGGGTTAGATGGGTTTCTTGTAGACAGCATATGGTTGGATTTTGTTTCTTGATCCATTCTGCCAGTCTGTTTCTTTTAATTGGTGCATTGAGACCATTTACATTAATGGTTATAACTGTTATATATTCGTTGATTGTTGGCACGTTATCTTTCTGCTGTTGCATCTTTATCTTTCTGTTCTGTTTAATTGTCTGCTTTGTTTAGTGGTTTTTTTCCTAAATGTATCCAGGCTGTCTTTCAATATTTTTTGCAGGGTTGGCTTGGTGATCATGAAGTTCTTCAGCTGTTCTTTGTCATGGAAGTATCTTATTTCTCCATTGATTTTGAAGGACAGTGTTTCAGGGTACATCAGTCTAGGTTGAAAATCATTTTCCTTTAGGATCTGAAATACTTCACTCCATGCTCTTCTTGACTTTATTGTTTGTACTGAGAAGTCTGCTGTGATTCTGATAGGCTTTCCTTTATAGGTGATCTGTCTTTTTTCTCTGACTGCTTTTAGTATTCTATTTTTTGTTCAATGTCTTAGATGGTGATTATCATATGTCTGGGTGTAGTTTTATTTTGATTATGGCCATTTGGAGTTCTATATGCCTCACTGATCTTGATATCAGTTTCCAATCTCATGTTTGGGAAATTTTCAGCTCTTACTTCTCTAAATATCCTCTTGACATCCTTTATGTTGTCCCCTTCTTTTTCATTTATCTTTATCAACCTTATGTTCCTCTTTGCATCATCTTGCCGGTGTTGAATTTCCTGATTTCTTGTTATTTTTAAAAGATCTTTCCTCTCCTGTTCACTGGCTGCAATCTTGTTTTCAAGGTCTGAAATTCTATCTTCACATTCATTGAGGCGATTTTTACAACTTTCAATGGAATTTTGGATTTCCTGTATATCTCTTTGCATCTGCTTTATATATTCTGTTTGTTTCTCATATTGTTCATCCAGGGATTCTACCTTTTTGTTTAGTTCTTCTAGTTTTTAACTGTGTCTTCTTTAGCTATGTTCAGCATCTCCTTCATTTCTTTTATCATTTCTTTTTTTACCTGAGAGATTATTTCTAGTTTGAATTGCTTTAAGGCTTCCCAGAGTTGCTTCTTTATTTCAGTTACTATTATTTCAGGTATTTCAGGTATGTGGCATGTATTTTCTTCTATGTACATGGCTCCTAGGCTTTCTTGGGATGGGTTGGATGTTTGAGATTGCATTTTGGTCTTTCATTTTGTCATTTTCCTCTATTTTCTAGCTTCAAGTGTTGTTCCAAGTGAGGCAGACAGGTCCACCAGGCTGGGACAGGGTTTCGTGCCTCAGCCCGACTCACTGATCCTGGCAGGGTGCCGCGGCCTGGCCTCCAGGTGAGGGAGAGAGGTCTGCCAGGCTGCGATGGGGTTCTGCGCCTCAGTCCAACTTGGGACTTTTTGTTTCTGCTTCCTCTTCCCATCTTTTTTGCTTCTTCCAGAAGGCCCCAATTTCTTTCTTTGTTG